AAAACGTAAGATCTTATAACAAAACAATATCTCACCAGTAACTTTATGCGGATCCTACAAATAATACACTACTTGTTGATTTAGATAGTGAAGTTTTATCTACTTCCGCTTCTCGAGTATCTCTAATACGCAAATCCTTCAATTTTTGCAGATCAACAATGGTGTTACTGTCTGTCCTGTATGTATTAGAAAAATGTTTTTAAATTCTTACAATCGGGGGGTTCTTGCAGTCAGAGTCATAGAAATTGACAATTTTCAAACTCGTCTAAAAACAGTATGAATCTGATTTCAACATGAGGCCAAATTTGAAAAACTATATGCAATGATGGAAATATTACCTACAAACGAAAGGACGTGTAAGGTCCCTATAATAAATTATTTAGCTTTATAATCCCTAATTATCAATCACATCCCATTTAATTTCCAGTCTCCTTTCACTTTCACTAGCCTTTCGTAAAACGTTCTTCTGATAAATCACATATGTAGCAAGCGCCTATAGCTATTCCCTGACATACAATAATGTTGTTTTGCCGAAATATACAAAAGCTTTTTGTCAGTCGTTTTTGTGGGAGGGTCTGAATGAGCTAAGGTACAGTCCTTTTATACTTGCGGCTTTGTGCCTGTTTTAATTAAGGCATTGTACAGAATATATATCTGTTTTGGAAATTGAATTTTCTTCAACTGACAAACATTTCCTTCCAGTTGCTGAAGTTAATCAAAAACAGAAGTAAGCCTACGTCTTGTTGAATTGCGATTGGGAAATTAGGAACTTGAGTTGTAGATGGATGGCCTAGAATAAGAGTACCTAGTTAATTCTTACTGATTTAAATTTACTCACAGGATTGTGCATACAATATAACTCCGTAAAATTAAAATAATCGTTAAAAAACAAGAATGTGTATTCAAATTTACTACAGCCGCTATTATACTTTGTATTTTCCAGTTCCAATCTTTCATATAAATGTTTCATCTAAAAAATCATCTTCTTCTCTGATTAGCTGCTGTTAGTTTGAATTAGTTTGCGTTAAATAAAGTCGTTTCTGTTCTGCATCAAAATTTTGCATAATGCTTATTATGCATTATGCATATTATGAATTGAAGAAGTTGCGGGTTTCAACCAAAAACCATCAATTTACATTTTAGAAAAAGAGAACAGAAGCTAAGAAAAATTATTGTTTTTATTAGTTTTACGTGACACCCCATCGCGCCCCGCCACAACATTATAAGAATTTTAACTGGCCCTAGGCAACATGCCATATCTCATTAAAAGACATTAAATTATCCATTCACAGACACCAATAAACTAATTCGAACCAATAGTTTTAGTATGGATTGAAATAAAAAAACTGAATTAGTAACTGAGTTGGAATATGTTGCGAGATATCTGTAAGACAGGCACGTGCATAGTATTGTACAATACTATGTTCTTAAACATCATAGTTGCATTTACTCGGCGAATATCAACAGTATTAAAGTCTTTGGTCAGTAGTCAGAACACAAAAATGGTTTACACGTGAGATGAAAGTCGTCAATTCAGAAATCAAAAAGCAATTTGAACTAGAATTTAAAATTGCTTCATGTCACCTCGCTTTGCTCACCACCACCTCCTCATAAAAAAATTAAACAACATTAGTTAAAGACAGCAAAACAACTTTACTTTTATTTTCATTAATTTGGATTTTCAAAATGACAACCATATTTCCAAACCATAAGGAAGGTGATGTTCAAATTCGTCTTTTAGTATTGTTAAAGTTAATATACTAATATGTCTGCATTAAAATGTATTTGATTTTTAAAGTCTTAGATATCATTTGGTAGAATTTTATGAACTATCCTTTTAAGATAGCCTAAAAAAGTCGAAGGGTCATTTAAGAGAAAACTTTCTGAAGCGTTGAACACTGATCCGATGGAAATACTTTTGCAATAGTTATCGAATAGCAACAAAACGTCAAGAACTTCTATCTGACAATTGTTTTCTACGATTCTTTGTTCTGAGGTCTATAAATTCATACATATGTATGTCAAAATGTATTATAGTTTTAGCGAGTGAGATTTGTCCTTCCAAATATAACGCGAGTCCATAAATCAGTTTGATATTGTGATATATTTTAATCAAAATTAAACAGTAGGATATTAGTACATTACATGCAAAAAAACATCATTGTACTTGTAAGTTTTACAGTTTTTCGAGACTCTCTAAGCAAACATAATAGTTTTCTCAGAAATTTTGCATCGCCCTACTTGATCAATTCCCCAATACAGAACTTATAATAATAATAATTGTGATATGTCATTATACTAAAAATTAAGTTACTTCACATGTGATGTTGGTATTGCCGGCACGAACAAACTATATTGTTTCTGTACCTAGCATGTAAATAGACTAGCAGAGTTGCCACAATTCTGCTGCAAATACCTCATCTCAAACGCCAGATCAAAAGGTGCTATTTAGTGAAACCATAAGCTGATGTTAGCATTGAAATATTACTAAAAGATGTGTAATACGTATGTAAATATTATTGATAAAGTAATTCTGACGCTCAGCATGCAGTGTTCGATAATATGTATCAATGACGCTTGTTATAGTTATTGGATTTTGGATTGGAATTTGTTCTACTTTTCTAAGTTTTATTTATCAGTAACTGAGGAGCAAAATATCACAACACCTTTTCTTTTCTTACACCCAGATCAAAATCAAGTTGGATGCGAATAACTATAATGTTGGGTTCAGCATGCGATGCCGCCTCTAAACGTCTTTGAACCCACTAAAATTATATTGAAAAATTTGCCTCCGCATCAGAAAAATTATTTTGCTGACATAATTAAATCAAAATAAATTATTTGATATTACCCCTTTGCCCAGTATGAATATCGCGTTACTAAAATAAATAGCGTTTTCTCATATTTAAATATAACGTAAAATAAAGAGTACATAATAAATTAAATCGTCTACATTTACATCTGATAGAGACAAAATGTAATAAAAAAATAAGTGATCTGGAGCGGTAGGAAAGCAAGTACCTAAAGAGAAGCGGAAATTGCAGTATAGCAACAACTTTTTTAGCTTTTTGTAAGATATACATATAATCACACGGAAGGACCATCATTCAAAAAAATTTACTCTCTTTTTCTAGTAACGAACGAAAAGATAAAGAGATTCTCTTGTTCAATTCTTGGAACGTTCGAAAGTTTTATCACATTCTTCTAAAATTCATGGAGCTTTTTGGCGACGATTTTCTGTTACTTCGGTACTTTTTGCTAAGATCGGCTAAATGAAAAGTCCTTCAATCATCCAACTTTTTCTCTTTCTCAAAAATTATTCAACATTTGACATAGCGGTCTTTAATAGCAAGAAGAATTTTCTGGAAAGTTGTTAAGGAAAATTCCAGAAATTGCAGAGAGGTCAAGTTTCAAGCCCCCAAAGGAAAAAAAATTATAAATCTGAAGATCAAATTTTAGTTCGAATACAAATCAGCTGCGGTTGATAACTGTAGTTTTTCTCATTTAGGTCCCCCATTCATAAGCTGTAAAGAAGCAAACATTACGGGCAGATTTGGCACTTTTACCGAATAAGAGCCAAAGCCTATTTATCATTGGTGATGAGTAATAGAGATCGCTGATTTACTTCCAAGATCCGGCAGTTTCAGCCTCTATCAAAACGAAACTTACATAAAGTATCTTGCGCCGGATTTCAATTTATTGATTCTCTTTTACCGAAATACAAATACCACATCTCAAGTGCTGTGCAAACAGAGCGAACAAAGCCGAGATCAGTTGCTCTCTTTTTTTTTTAGACAATTTGTCACTAAACTTTAATCAACATAAAATGTGTTCTCAGTAATTCGTTGCTGTTGTTTGATTCATTTTTGTGACCTTCAAACTGCATTATTAATAATTTATAATAGCAATCTATTTTTCTCGGATCGAAATGCATTCTCAACCTAATCATACTAAGTAGGTACACTATAAAAACTATTAAACTTGAACATTTTAATTCAAAAAACAAGTAGCTGAAGCTAAGCTGAAGTGGTATCTGACAAACTGCGTTGCTATTTGGTATGCTGCTCAGAAACTAAACTAACGTTTTATATGGAATGCTAAAATATTGGCTCAATTGAAATCAAACTATATTTCTCTCTATTGCGCCTTCAATCTAGAAAACCTGATAGATCTGATTTGCTGTTATGCAAAAATACATCCTCTATGGGGAACAATTATCTATAAGATAGTCTTAAAAGAATACATTTTTGAAGCATACTTTTTGTACAAAAACTGCAGCAACTTTATTGTTATTGATCCACAATAATATGACTAAAATTTCAGTTTGAGTGAATTAAAATAAAGACAAATTGCCCATTCAAAATAATTGAGCACATGGCAGTGGAATAAATTAAGGTATTGATTGAAAATTGGATAAAATTCTAAAGTATGAAAGAGGAACAATGCAAATTTACTCTCTCAATAGGAAAAATTCTAAAAGGTCTTCCGTTTCGACCAGCACTAGAACCGGACATTATATACACAAATAATATTTTTCCATCTAACTCCAGACAAATAGGTACAATCTAATCCAAACAAGCGTAAACTAGGATTATATAATTCGTCAAAACAAGAATAGACTTAATCATAAAAAATTGTGGCTTTGAAAAATTTTCAAGATATTTTGGTCGGTAGCACACTAATTGAAGGAAATTAATTTGGATACCCCAATACAGTGTGGAGATCCTGGATTTCGAAATTAATTTTCTTCCACTTTGGGCATAATTGGTTCTGTGAACCGAAGTTCAAAAAGTGGATGGAGGTTTTGACAAAAATCAAAAACTCATGTCGCCAGCGATTTATAGAGCTGAATTCACCAACTTACTTGACCAAACCTCTTATCTGGTTGCAGCTACAGAACGCATAATAAATCTGCTTCAGTGACGTATTACGATTAATTGTTACGATATCCTCTTAATGGTATTAGCGTGAACCTTCATCCTAAATAGATTGTATAAAAGCGGCAAAGTACTTAAACGAATTCCAGATAACATTAGTAAATGTTATTGTTTACAAGAAGAAAGCTGAAAGCAGCTCGTGTACTTAGTAGTAAATAGAACAAAGCAAATAATTACTAACCGTAATGACCACTGATACATCAATAGTAACATTCTTGGTTAAAAGTGTTAGAAATTTGCGTAAGTAAATCGTCAATAAATGCATGTTTCAGAACGTTTTAGTCTCTAGTTTTACTATTTACTAGCTTCAATTTGGATTAATTATTTCAAGAAAGTTAATTGCATTGATAGCAATATGGTTAATTATGCCAAAATTGATGCCTATTTCTTATATTAAAATTCATACAATACAAATACGACTTTAAGTCCAAGAAAGAGCTTGCTCACACCCGATATCAAACAAAAGCTTAACTAGGCCTTTGAGAAAACAATTTAATGCATTGAGTCAAGGACAATAACTTAATAATATTTTCATTTTGTTTTAGGTACATACGGAAAATTAGCTGTCGGGATTTTATTATTGGCATTAGGAATTTCTTCCGTCATTTACACGCCATCAGATTTCCTATTTGATCTTAGGCTGCGTATGGTGCCTGGTAAGTATTTAGCCGAATTACTTGATATTGTAGAGTTGATTCAAAACAATTAGTACATGCAAACTAAGATTTAAAATAAAAACATCCCAGTGTTTTTTTAGGAACTTCCCGATAATTATAACTAACATATTTTAATTTTATTTTTTTGTTTGTTGTTGTTTCCATTTGTTAACCTTGCCATTCATGCGGACATGTGTGCTCTATGCTAAAACGTACTAATAGAAATTTGTACATGTTGATTGAGGAAACGAGGGTGAAAACTCATGGGTAAAACGTTTCTAAAACGATCGAAATGTTCGATATTTACTGTTGCGTCCGGCCATACTAATGACAAATTAATTTACAAAAGAGTGGTACTGAGAAAAGTAAATTTTCAATACTGAAAGTATTAAATTTATCATATATTATTGGAAAAATCACAGTCGAATATAAAAATCCCTTGTTTAAACAAAAACATAAAAAACACACATCAGGGTTTTAATATTTGATTTTGATACCAAGATGCAAAATACTGTTTCGGGGGTGGAAAATCGTCAGGGGGTCGAACCTTACCAATTATGTAATGTATTCGGCGGCACATTGAACTTCTGCAACATTTTTCTGAATCCAAAAAACAATAGAAATTTAAATATAATTGACCACTTCGTGCGCTTATCAACTTATAAACACTCACTTAAAAGCAAAGTTAGTGGAATAATTAATAGTTGCGTTCAAAATAAAATATTTGTGATTATTGTGGCAGTTCATTTATATAGTTTTCAAGTTGCATTCAATTTTTAATAAAACGGTAGGCAAAATCATAATGTATGTCACAGAGCAGTGTGCACATTTTACTAATTAATGAATCTAAACATAAACAAATTATGTCAATAAATAAATACCAAATGATTTGTAGTAACAGATTTATCGCAATTATGCAATAATGTCATTGACTCCGTTAACACTACTAGAATGACAACATGGTGTTGCATAATTACTAGTATATGTTAAGCGTTCCCATTACCATTGATTTTTCATCATTTCTTATGATAATGTGGACAGTGATTATATGGATGCCTATAAAAAAGGTCAACAACGTATGCAATTTAAAATGAAAAATTGTGAAAATTTTAAAAAGTCGGTACACTTGAACAGCCATGCTTAGTTGACAACAGATTACAATTTGATGACAATTCAATAAATTTCTCAATAAACTAATCCTCTTGACAGAAAAAAAACATTTAACATGGTCAGGTAGGTACTTATATGCGTTTAGCAATTTCAGCAATATCAGGTAAAATGCGCGTATCGAACCTAACTTGGGTTGTGCATTAATAGTTCAAGATCAAAAAAATTATTGTATCAAATATGGATATAATGGTTTTGTTTACAGTACGGCATTCAAAAGAATATAAATCGCAATAACATTTGCTACAAGTCGAACATTGAGACATGGAACTGTAGCTGTTACTTCACGCAACTTTTTGATCGTCTTTTTTATATTTCAATACCACACAACAGAACCCAAGAGCGAGTTTACTTCCACTACAGCATGTTTATCATTTTGGCCATAGCCTTTGCCTTCAAAAGTTTGTTTTGTTTTTCGTTAATGTTTATGAGTCATTGATCTTTGACTCTATTTTTTGTGTGTTCACCTACTATGGTAGAACTTAGAATAAACTAATATTTCCTTCTAGTAGTCGGAGTTATCAATGAAAAATTTTCCATCATATCAATCAATGTTTCGCATCAAGTGTTAAAGGGCATCACCTCATTTTCGTTTCTCATGAATATATTCGAATATAATTTCTAAAGCAATATAGGGTGATTCACAACCATATGGACCTAGAGCAGGGGCGTGTAGAGGACCCCAAAACAAAAGTTTTTTTTGCAGGCCCATGGTTGACGAGATACAGGGTGTTAAAATTTAAAAAAAATGATATTTCCTCTTTAACTCCTACAATTTATGATATATTTTGCTCAAATTTTGAACGTAGGTTCCTGTTTAGACCCTTTATCTCTGCATTTGTTGTCCAATTTAAGAATTTTTTAATCTCTAGCAGTTTTTTCGAATCTGCCTTCGTTTTCGAGTTATTTGCACACACATAACCCATGTAGGGTTTCTAGGTGACCTTCTGTGAATTTTTGTTATAAAAAAAAATTGTGTCCTTTTATTCGCATT